CGGTGGTCATGTAGGTGGCAATACGGTATTTGTTGTTGTTGTTGTTATCGTACTTTCCAGCCGCTTACGATATTGATGTGAATTTCAACCTCTTCAGTGGCTAAAGTTGTTGAAAATATCCAAAAGTGTCCGAAAATATGAATAAATATTTTTTTTTTGTCGGGAGTGTGTCAGGATGTGAAAAATTATGCCAAGTGGAAGTATAAAATAATTCATGCATAATGTATGGGATGTGCGATTGGCCATACCGGACGAGAATGATAGTAGTCAGTGCATGGGCAGGACAACGCGTCGAAAAGTATGAAAATGTATAAGTCAACAATAAATGAAGTATTGAAAAAATCCATATCGTCGAGTCGAGCCAGAAAATCGGTAGGCACACAAAATGATTTTAAGGCAATTAATTGAACATATTGCAAGTAATTACGTTTGCTCAGTGAAGAGGAAAATAAAAACAAACAAAAAGATAAACATAGGGAGTTTTCTTTTAATTTTTGGAGGAGTTTTTTTTTTTTTTTGTAATATTCAGTGAGCATTTTTATATGACGATGATATTATTAATTTAAAACAAGTAAGCAAAGTCTATAGTCGTGCGGGGCCGACCATGTGATACCCTACAACACTACAATATGTTAGAAGCCCCCTTATGTCCAAATCCATTTTGGAAGATGTCGCTTCTGAAATTATGTCACGGAGCACTGCCCAGATATTACCCTTAGCATTTTGACCAGGGACATTTTTCCAATATTTATGCACTCCGTCGTGCTGTTAGTTTGTATGGTCCATTTTACGGCTAAATATAATCCAATGGTCATCCAAAATGCCAGAATTCTTCCCTGTGCTTAACCATCTTCTCAGGCGTGTCTATTGGCTTCAATTGTGTGATCAGAAATTTTTTTCTGTTCTTGGTTCATTTGAACCCCTAAATATTTTGCGACCATCTCCAAAAGAAGAGGCCCTTCTGTGTCTCTAAATTTAGACTCATCTATATGATTTGCTTGTCTTCGATATTTGGTTATATTCGTCAACGAAATCAGCATAAAAAGCCAGAAGTTCGCCTATCGTGTATTTCGGATATCGTCTGTAATTAATGTTGGTATTTTTTCACACAAAAGTAGTGGCCCATTCTGCCCACTGTCTTAAATTCTAACTTCATGCGAGATTTCGTGTCCTTTGGTTTCAGTTTCTGACCTTTATAACGGCTGGAAAATCAGGAACATTTTGAGTTGCTGGTCCATTTCAACCCTTAAATATATTGCGGGCATCTTTAAAAAACAATAGGCCTAGCCCTTCTGAGCCTAACCCTACCCTTTTCGTGAGGATCGGACGATAATTGAAATCTGTATATAATAATTCTAACCTGTGTTGTAAGGTGAAAAAATATCACAAAATATACACTTCAATATTTTAAGTCAAATTAAAAAAATCGCATGCGATAAAAAATATGAAAAAATAAAAAATGTCACAAAGTACTACAAAATCTATATTATCGTGATTATAGGCAACTTTTTATGCGATTTTTTTAGATTTTATTCTTTTATGCCAAGAGGGCATTCTGAATTGACAAAATTTGTCCAGCCATTCTTGAGATATAAGCATTCTAACTAACATCCCCTTCCTCTGTATATACACATTGTATATATTTCGCTATATATATCCGCTATATTTACTATCGGCATCTACGAAACGGTCAGAATTGACCTGTCGTCTCTTTGTGATTTCGCCTGCATTAAAAATATTTTTAATAGAAAATTTGACTTTTATTTATCACAAATGCTATGGTCTATTTCAACCACTAAATATTACCCGATGATCATCAAAATTGGAAGGCTTCTGGCCAGCCCTAGGCTCTAGCCCCATGCAAACTTCCAATTCTATTGGTCCATAAAAAAGGGTTCTATTCTGACCTTAACCCCACCTACATTCTAAATTTCGTGAAGATCGGGCCAAAATTGCGACCTGTAGAGTGATTACAAATTAACTAGATCGACTCAGCTCGGCGAGATAGGAAGATCCATATATACTTTCCTATGTGGGAAACCAATATTTCGAGGTGTTACATAATTTTTGGCCCGATCAAACTTATAATACCCCCAACACATAGTGTTGTAGGGTATAAACAGTGTTGAACTTAATTTGTTTTACCATTGCGGTGGGCTAAAAAGCGCTATTGTTTCTAATCAAGAAAACTGCAACCAAATTAAGACTGCTATCATTTCTATATTACTCGTCCGACAGCTGTTAAAATTATTCCAGTGACAGCTCATTATATTGTTTACAAGCGTACAAAAGCATTTTGTTGAGAATTTTCCAGAAAAAAATTTATTCGTGATGGAATTCAAGCGTGATAGTGTGATTTCTTTATATTTGGCTGGAAACCCACAAGTGGCTATCGTTAGAGCACTCCAGCATTTAAATGTGAATAAATCTTTTGTGTCTTGTACCATCGCTCGTTATCGTATTGCTGGTAGCGTAGCCCGACGTCAAGGACGGAAGAAAACAGTAACATCAGCAAAAATGGTTTGAAAAGTAAAGAAGCGACTTGATCAAAACCAGCGTCGCAGTGATCGAAAAATGGCTCGTGAGCTGAACATATTGCAATATTCCATTCGGTAAATATCGAAAAATGAGTTCAGGGTAAAGCCATTGAAATTCCCAAAAGTGCAAGAACTTACACCGCAACAGGAAGAAAACAGACTCGAAAGAGCTAAAGAGTTGCTTCGCTTGGCCGAAAGTGGTGAATTGGTTTTCTCCGATGAGAAAACAATGTTGTCCAGCAGTTTGTAAAGAAACAAAATGATTGCGTTTACTTACCAAAGAGGTCAGTAAAAATGTGCACCTTCGGTTGGCCACCAGAACTCAATTGCCGGACATGGTGATGGTGTGGGCCGCCATAACAGCCGATGGTCGCTCTCCGCTCGTATTAATCTACCGTGGCATCAGAATAAATGACGAATATTATCTCGAAAATATTCTGGAGGGTGTATTAAAGCCTTGGGCACGCAAACAATTTGGCCACAGACCTTAGACATTCTAACGGGACCCAGCACCATCGCACTCAGCACGCGCCACCCAAGAATGGTTACAAAATGAGGTTCCTCGCTTCATTTCCAGTGCTTAATGGCCACCAAAATCTCCGGATACCAATCCGTTGGACTATTGTGTCTAGAGTATTTTGGAAAGCAAGGTTGGCACTAAAAAATACCAATGTGTCGATTACCTCAAGCAAGCGCTGCGCGTGAATGCATAGACAAATGAAGATATAGACAACGAAAAGTTAGTTTTGTCTTTTTATCCAGGTGGCTCTCATCATGTTTTGCATAGTCAACATGCTGATTTACGCGTTCAAGTCACTCGACTTCGAAAACACATTTTATAGTATTTCAAGAATTTCACTGGAATATTCTCATATTTTTCGATGTCACTACATAGTTTTCACTTGTCTTTTATTATGGAACAATTTTCAACTGACAAATATCCTACAGTTTTTGTTATTTTTAACGTTTTAGAATTGAGTGACTTCAAAATTCCCACTCAAACCCCTGAAACGATATAGACGACATCTGCTGATCCGATTTTTTTCGAAGATGAACGGTGAGAGCATTTCGTTGTCTATATTTTCATTTGTCTATGTGAATGGGCCCAAATACCACAGAGCAACATTCGAGCAGCGTGTGACGGTTTCATAGGCCGCTTGAAGCCATAATTCGTATCAAAGGTGACCAATTCGAACAAATCTAAACTTATTATATTCTCCCCAGAAGTTATTTTAAAAATAACTTCTATGACAAAAACATTTTTTACCCAAGTGACGAGATCATAAACTCAATAGAAGCGGAACCAAAGAATTAAATAAAACTAAAATTCTTTTGGAAAGTCTTCTAAATCTTACAACCGCACTTATAAACATTTACATCTTTCTCCACTTGTTATGCTTTTGTTCAACCTGAACGAAGTAGCATAACCATGTAAGTTTTTAGTTTTATTTAATTCTTTGGTTCCGCTTCTATTGAGTTTATGATCTCGTCACTTGGGTAAAAAATGTTTTTGTCATAGAAGTTATTTTTAAAATAACTTCTGGGGAGAATATCCCAGACAAAAAACAATGGAACTGATGAGGATTGGGGGCTCTTTCCGAAACCTAGGTATTTCCTGCCTTACCCCCTGGTGAACATTACCATTGTTCTCCACTAATAAACAAACGTTGTTTTTATAAAAAACAACAATAAAGGGATAAAGCCTGACCATTTCGCAACAACAAAATACTACGGTATCCCGAACAAACAATCCAACACTGTCTTATTTTAAAATTTGATGCTTTTTCCGACGTTTTGTGCGTTTATTTAATAAAATTAAAAAAAAAGAAAAAAATTATTGCGTTTGACTTTGTTGCATTTTTTTTTACTATAACTCTGTATAGTACCATTTAGTACTGTATAGTACCATTTAGTACACATTTCCGAAATCACCTCCATACCTCAGTTTCAGATACTAACAGAGACCTTAAAATAACATTTCGGTATTCCAGCTTTATCGGTTCACACAAATCTAAATTGTACCAAATTTAGTACCATTTGGAACATAAGTAAAAATTTCCCTTACAACCTGAATCGTGCAATTCAATAGAAATCTTATTTCTAAATGATCAGCGTAAATTTCTTAGACGATTTATCTCTGTCCGCCCGTTTCTTGTATAATGAGCTGTCACTGGAGTAATTTTAACAGCTGTCGGACGAGTGGCTTAAAAATTACAGCAATCTAAAATTGGTTGCAGTTTTCTCAAGTGCGAATTTTTACTCATTTACAATTGTTTGTCACATTATAATGTGTTTTAATGTGGAAAATAAATCACCGCATCTTATTATGAAATTTTACTTTTCTCTTGGATCCAGAAATGCTAACGGAACTACAATAAATCTTTTGAATCATTATTTTCACTTAAAATCTGCTTTATTAAAACAATACAATGTTTTAATAATTAATTCAAACACAAATATATGTTACCATATTTGGAAAATGTTGCATTTATTATTATCCGAATAACGAGTACGATGATGATGCCATAGTTCCAGTAAGAATATAACCGCACCAAGACTCAAACCAATAACAAGTACAAGCCAAGCCCATTCTAAGTCATTGGCGGTCATAATACTTGGCCCACGTTCAGGATTTGGATCTGTCAGTGATAAACGTTTTAATCTTAGCAAATCAAGAAATGCACCGTTGTACCAGGCATCTGGCAACCCAGCTTGATTAGCTCGATGTAGAACATAATTAAAGGGTTCTTTATACGGAGAATTTGGTTGCAGCAATATATTCCAGGGTATAAACTTATGTAAGGTCAAATTTTCGTAGGTACAGTAGGTTTTGCGACTATGATATTTTTGCTTCAAATTTAAGAACTTCCATTGGGCCGAAGCTACATAGTAACCGGTTGAGGTATTGTAATTATAACGCATGCTGGAATATTCGGCAATGTCTTCGGTAATAATCACCGAACGGGAAATAGGCAACATAACGTCACCCATAATGGCCAGATCACCTTTCAGAACGTTTATTTTAAAATTGAGGTTGCGTATATCCTCTAAAGTTTCGATTTGTTTGTATCTTGGAGGACTTGTAAAGAGGGTATTCATTCGTGCCGAAAACTGGGTATTGATGTTCAGGCCAGCAAAGAATAGAAGAATATAAATCAGTTTCAAGCAACGCCATGGTGAATTGCGACCAGTGAATGATAGACCCAAAACTCCACCAATTATACGATTATTAAAAAACAGATCCATGTAACTAAAGTGTTGATCAAAATAACAGTCGATGACGAAATGAAAACTGAGAACAGCACCGTACAGACTACGACCATGCCAAAGAAATATTCATTCAAAAGAATTTTGAACATGTCTCTTATAGATAGGGGGCTTGAACATGGCACTATTATCGATGCACTGCCTATTTCATAAACATCCGAGGCATAAATCCAAGTACTGTGCTCAGCTATGCCTGTTACATGCAGACACATGGCAATGTCAATCAGACGTTTGATGGCCATATCTGCAACTACTGTGAAATGGGTGAAACCTCTCTCGACTATTGGCTTATACATCCTTAGAGTGCCATTAAAATGTTCCGCAAAAAGTACCACCAAGCTGGCCACATTTCCATTGAGTTTCAAATTTCCCTGCCCATCATAGTAGGTTACGGACGAAGGAAGGGACTGATCAGTGTACGTGGTAACATTAGCTCCATACAAATTCCGCCAATGTTGTGGATAATATGTCAAATCTATTTCCTTAAAATTCCTCTTTTGCCAATGAAATTCAGGGAAGGGTTTCAGTTGTTGATAGTCCAATGGGATTTCAGGTGAATTTCGTAAAAAATGCAACAAAACATTGGTCATGGAATAATCTTCGAGTAGAGGCAAACAATCGGTCATGAATTCTTCTTCATTGCTTATATTGCGAGCAATTAATAATATTCTTGATTGACGTATATAATTTAAGGATCTAGCTGCAATCTCCATTAGTTCCAAATCCAATGCAGCAGACATTAAGATTATCACAAAAATTTCCGAATTAAAAACTTTTTATAGAAGAATTCAAAATGTTTCGAAAGAAATATTTTCGGGTGAGGAAAACTATAGATTGCTTTCAGCCTCAGATCATTGAAACCATCCTCGTGTAACACAACCAGGGTGTCATAGGACCTTTCATGATGTATGTTCCGCAACAAGTTAGTATAGAAATCCACTTGACCATGAGTGGTCGTTGAGCTGGCAACAACACTCCACACAAAAAACAGAAGTAGCAATACCGAGCCGAGTGCTGTGACTATCATCCTATGCGGATTTATTTTGACTAAAAGAGTTTTTACGTTTCTACCCTCCTCTAACCAAATATTAAATTTGTTTTATTCCTAATTATCAAATTATATGTTCAGCTTTTAATAACTTTGTGTGACCACATAAAATTATGTATGGCGCTCCACACGAAATCTATTCAAAAATATGTATCAACCCATTCCTCAAAAGTAAAATTATAATTATGCTGTCGAAATGATTTGGAAAATAAACAAAAAATGCGCCACAATGATTGAACTATATTATTTTTGTTAAATGGGGAAAATAGGGGGTGTGTGTGAAAATTTTGTGAAAGGTAATGCTATTATGTTATGTTAGCAGAGCAACAAATAAAATATGTCTTTTAAGTTGAACGGTTAAAGGTAAAAGATATTTTATATTTATTGACAACATTTCGAATTCAATTCTTATGGCTTACAAGTTTTTATTCGTTCAAGTATATTTTCCAACAGTTTATTTCAACACCCCCACTCGAACAAAAACTCTTTTAACAAAATCACATTTGAAATGAACAAAATTGAGGCTTTTTTTGTAAAAAAAAAAGCTTAGTTAAATTGTCCACTATCATCACTTCAGTTCGAACTCCCACAAAATGAACAATATTCGACTCTTCTTTTACGGTATAAAATAACTGCGGACATCAATATATTCAGATCTTTCCAAATATTTGCCAGTGACTGAACGCCTTTCATCTGAATCGCTTGCCCAATTGGAATCAGAATATGCAATTAAATCTTGTAACGACACAAGTTCCCTCCATTTTCTGGGGAGAGGTCACGGAGGCCAATGTGTCACAGAAATGTGTAAAAATCGAGACTAAGAGTGATACAACACCGAACTGTTGAGTTTTCATACCCTCCACCATTCTATGGAGTTGATATTAACTTTGTCATTCCGTTTGTAACTCCTCGAAATATTCATAATAGACCCTACAAAGTATATATATTCTGGATGAGCGCAAAATTCTAAGACAATCTAGAGATATCCGTCTGTCTGTCTGTCTATCCGTTATAATGACGCTATCTTTCGAACGAATTGAGATATAAGGCTAAATTTTTGCATACATGCATAGTTTACCAGTAGGCAGGTTAAATTCGTTATTGGGCCATGTCGGTTCACGCTTTCATATAGCCCCCATATAACGGTACCTCCCGATAATCGGTATTTTGACGATTTCAGCAACATTATTCGGCGGAATCGTTTCAAATTTCATATTTAAAGTTCGTAATGGGTACTACAACCTGTGACAAAAAAATTGGTATGCAGGTTCACGTCTTCGTAAAGCCTCCATATGACGGTACTTTCCGATATTCGGTATTTTCATGATTTCAGCGACATTATTTACAGGAATTATTTCAAATTTCGTATTTGAATTTCGTACTACACCATATGACAAACATTTTTGTATGCAGGACCACGTCTTCGTATAGCCACTATATATTCGGTATTTTCATGATTTCAGCAACATTATTCTCCGGAATTATTTCAAATTTCGTATTGGAAGAAATCTAATGGGTACTACAACCTATGAAAAAAATTTCGTATGCAGGTCTACGTCTTCGTATAGCCCCTATTTAACGGTACCTTCCGATATTCGGTATTTTGATGTTTTTATCGACATTATTCACCAAAAAAGTTTCTAATTTGGTATTTGAAGTTCGCTATGAGTATTACAGCGTATGCCAGAAAATTGTCTGTGCAGGTACACGTTTTATAACCCCTATGATACCTCCCTATATTCGATATTTTGTTGATTTTGAAGGCCCACCATGGCCGGCGCTTGAGTTCTGGTGGTTGGCCAGGTGTACATTTCATCTGACCTTTTTGGCAAGTAAACATGATAATTTAGTTTGTTTACAAACTGCTGGACAACGAATGTTTTCTCATCGGAGAAAACCAAATTCGGCAGTTCACCACTTTCGGTCAAGCGAAGCAACTCCTTAGCTCTTAATGTCTATTTTCTTTCTGTTGCGGTGTAAGTTCTTGCATTTTTGGAATTCCAATGGCTTTACCTCGAGCTCATTTGTCAATATTTTTCGAACGGAATATTGCGGTATGTTCAGCTCACAAGCCATTTTTCAGCCACGATGATAGGAAACACAAAGAATTTATTTACATTTAAATGATGGAGTAATCTAACGATAGCCACTTGTGGTTTTCAAGCCAAATATAAAGAAATCACACTATCACACTTGAATTCCATCACGAATAACTTTTTTTGAAAATTCTCACCAAAATGCTTTTGTACTCTTGTAAACAATATAATGGGCTTTCACTGGAATAATTTTAACAGCTGTCGGGCGAGTGGCTTTGAAATGACAGCAGTCTGAAGTTGGTATATTTTAATAAACTGACATAGGCTGAGGGTATACATCTGTCGGCAAAACCGACTGATGGATACAGCAAAGTCCCATTACTCGTCAAATAATGATATACCCTGATAGCCAATAACCAAAATGATCACTGCTTTAAAGAATCCATCAACGTAAAATCAAAATTGTGGTTTGTTCTCAGCACTTTAACACTTGAATACTTTAGTGAAATTACAGATGGGCAACTTAGTTCTCCATGGCCGAGACGACTCTATTCACACATGTATGCTGGTCGAAACAAACAGTCGACAACTTGGTGTTTAACTTCCGTTTGCTTTCGGTTCCATGTTCGTTGTCTGTTTTGTTTGCAAATTTCATTTCACTAGAATGACATTTGTCCCGGCGATGCTGACGATGATGACACGACACCATTGCAAAACAGCAGCAATTTTCAAGCATTAGGGTTGTGAAGCAGGTGTAGGGGGGAAGGGTGTTAAAAAAGACAAATGAACACCTTATTGTGATTATGCCGCTACTGGGGAAGAACGATGAATTACTACGTTGTTGTTTGGAGGAGCAGAAGACAGACATTATCAGGAGAACTTTTTGTTAAACTAGTTTGGAAGGCACATATTTGGTGGGTCGGCGAAAAAAACACGTTTTTATGAAAAGCTAATTAAAACAATGAAAATTTCGACCTTTTGTGGGGGAGATACCAGAAGTAGTGGACCGATATACTCCATTTTAAAACCAGACCTTGGGTTAACATAAATATTGGCGACAATCGGACTCTTACATCACATTTTATAAGAATAGTAATAGTGGGGAAGGTACTTGATGGAGTGGACCGATATTGTCCATTTTACGCACCTGACATAGCACAGGCGTTAATTTGCAAATTTGGAGCAAAATCGAATTTTTGTGCAGAAAATATATTTTTTGAAAATTACGATCTTTTGTGAGGGAGGTACTGGAAGGAGTGGACCGATATTGCCCATCACCGAACTCGATCTAAGTTTGACAAAAATATTACGATGTACCAAGTTTGCACCAAATCGGATACTCCCTTTGAGAGTTATCATGCGCACCAGCCAGATAGACAGACGAACATCGCTAGATCGACTCCAAATGTTCTAAAAGGGATTTGGTCCAAAGAGACCTAGGGTCTAAAACCGTTATTTCGACTAGGCACGTTTTGACCATATCAGATGATATATACACTCTCTAGCCATATGGCTGAGGGTATAACTAGCCATATGGCTTAGGGTATAATAAAATAAATAAAACAAGTAAAAAAACAAACGAACTTTGAATACCCTCCACCATTTGAAACGAATTAGAAAATTTTCAAAAAATAAAATCTATTAAAAATTCAGTTAAAATCTTTAAAATACCTAATATTGGAAGGTGCGATATATGGGGGATATACGATATTGTAAACCTATATAGACAAATCTATGTCTGGGGGTAAAGTACAAAGAACTCCTTTTGTAGATTTTCAGAGAATTCCGTTGAAAAATGTGTCTAAAATCATCAAAATACCGAACATCGGGGGGGTACCACTTATGGGGGATATACGATATCCTTGACCTTTAAAGAGAATTCTCCGTCAGGGGGTAAAGTGGTCCAAACAACTCCTTGTGAAGAATTTCAGGCAATTCCGTTGAAAAATGTGGCTAAAATCATCAAAATACCAAACATCGGGGGGTACCACTTATGGGGGCTATACGATATATTTGACCTATATAGGCAATTCTCTTTCAGGGGGTTAAGTACTCTCAAGCAACTCCTTGTGTGGAATTTCAGACAATTCCATTAAAAAATGTGGCTAAAATCATCAAAATATGGAATATCTGGGGGTACCGTTATATGGGTGCTATACAATATCGTGGACCGATATAGCCTATCTTCGAACTGGACCTGCCTGCAGACAAAAGACAGATCTGTGCAAAATTTTTGCTCCCTATCTTAATTCGATTTGACTGTAGCGTGATTACAACAGACGGACGGACATGGCGTCTTATAACTTAATATACCTTCCATACTATGTATGGTGGAGGGTATAAAAACTAACTAAGGGAAACATTAGAACCAATTAAGACCCACTAACACCAATTTTTACCGCTATCTAAATTCTATCGAAAATCCGTTATAAAAATTTAATAATCTTAATATATATTAAACCACTGTACCCTCTAAATGGTTTATTTGCCCTGTTGTACTATTTATTTTAGCATTGACACATACATTTGCTGGGGTACGAGGACATTGTCCTTTGATCCTGTAACGTGACTGCGACAATTGTTATCCAACATCATCATGTTGACACCTGTGCCCTATGCTCTTCGCTGTAAACTCCCAGGCAAACACACACACACA